TTATTTGTTTAATTTATTTTACACAGAACCAAAATACATATAACTTTGTAATGCTGAAAACATTTTGAATCTGATAACCTTTAAAAAAGCAATACTAGTTGATGAAAATCATTTTATTTATGTTTAATTTTTTTCCATTTTCTCTGTACCAATCTGTTGAAGGCCATTTTTTATTTAGGTTCAATTTCCCCCTACCTCTCATTATCCCTTTATTTATTTCCTTTTGCAGGACCCGTGTAATATTAAATTATAATTATTCTTTTGCCTGCTGGCGACAGTTTTCATTTGCCTTTTTGCCAATTAAAATATTAAAAAAAATACGTTCTTTGATGCGGCTCCGGCCCTTTTTGTGTCAAGTGTCCCTTACAATTAGGCCGGAAAGGCTTAGCGGCCTTAAAGTTTTTAAGCCGCTTTAAGTCGATGCAGCTGTTTGCCGTCATTTGATAATAAATTTCGATTCGACAGCCACCCTTTTGCGAAATCGATGGGAATTTTCCCCAATGCTTTTAATTGGGCTCCGGGACATTGGACAGGAGATTTCTCAACCCACTTTATTTTTTTTTTGCGAAATGGCAGCCACAGGATTTTCCCGGCACATTGTTGAACATTTCGAGTTCGTGGCCAATTCAAAACCGTAAAGCTGGCAACTGTAGTTTTGCGGTGGCATTAGTTTTTGGCAGTTTTAATTGCCCGGTCAAGAGCCTTTGGCATTGGTATTGCTAACTGCAGCTGAAATCTCATTTCGGTGTTGTGTTTGCCATAATTTTTCCGCAAATAACTCACCCGTGAAGATTATATGAATATTACGCATTTGCTGTGTAAATTGTTTTTAGGATTTGACCATGAATTCAGGGGGACTTAATATAAATAAACATGAGTAGCATGTTTTTAGAAATTGTTAAGGATTATATTCAAATTTCAACATCTGCTATCACGTTGTAAAACAATGACAAATATATTTAGCAAATGGTAAATATTATTAAATGCCAGTTTCTATGTATTTCTAAACACTAATTAATTTTGATATACATCAATTTGCCATTTCAAAAGCCACAATTTTCTGCCAGAGATACGAAATAATGTCAACCAATTCTCTTTATATTCTTCTCCTACTTTGCCATAATTTGTTCTGATCCAAAGTCCAACTGTTATGCTGGTTTTCCCCGTAAATTTAATACAAATTCAGTCGGACGAAAGGCCACACACATGCGGTGTTTTTCATCGTCGCATGTTTGTTTGTTGTGGCAAATGCTCTTGACAAATTTCCGCACATCTAACAAATTTGTTATGAGGGCTCTCGCCATTTTCGGCACGCGGCAGTAGCTAACATGCCACTGCCAGCATCGCCCAGCATCGGCGATGTATGGCCATTAGTCAGGCCAAATGGAGCGAAAACATATGGGGGCTTTACTGTAGCTGGGTTGTATGTGGTTGGGAGCACTGTTTTATATGGGAGTTGGAATTAATGAACTCGTGATGTAGACATGTCTCACTCGGATGGCGACCAATTTCTCATCTCTGATGGAGAGACAAAAATCCATTCGGCTGCATTCCATTCCATTTGCATGTCTGGCTGCAATTTGCCGGAATTTTGTGAAATAACTACTTGTGCGATAAATATTTGATAAACAACATTTCTGCAGCTTTGCGGTTCAGTGACTCCGCAGGGCGTCGCAAATTGCGGCAAATTTCTCGCATTTATTTTCCATTTATAGTATGTGCTCCCGCTCACAGCGCCGCATTAAAGAAACTTTCGTAATCATAACTCGGTCTTGGAGCTTGGAGCTTGGAGCCAGCCATTGTTGCTCGCTTTTCCCCCATCGAAGAATTTTCTTTACTTTATCCTTGCGCCTTTCCCCTCACCTTGCTCCGATAAGATACTCGAGGGTGTGTGTGGCCGAATGGAAAATCAATACGTATTTATGGGTTCATGTTGTGGGTGCACGTACGAAATATCAGCCATACTACACACACCTAAGGACTGCTGCCCCAGGGGAGTCCTGCAGTCCTGGAGTTCTGGCCATTTGCACGTTTCGAATCATAAAATATCTGCCGTACACTCGTCGGAATGTGAAAAGAAAATAATTTTTAATAGTTGCACATGTCCTTGCCTAGCCTTTTGGGTGTGCTATTACGGAATTTACAAAAAATTGCCAACTGCAAACAGGTAAGGTGAGCGTTGAAAATAGGGCTAGAAGGAGAGAGTCGAAGAGAGAGCCACACCTTTCAATTTATAGGTGTTTCAATTTATTTTTTGTTTAAAGGAAACACATAGTCCGGGATTTTAAATGTATACTATGAGTATTGTAGACTTTAAAAAATAAGTAAAATTGTATTTCAAAGTTGCAAGGATTTAAAAGAGCGCACTTTATTGATTGTACATCAATTAATATAATAATTTCCTAGTTAAATAAGTCAAGATAAATCAAATATATTTATTTTTATAGTTCCGGATTAATATGACGTATTTTGTGTGTTTATTTTCTGAACTTTTTTTTACCGCATCTACCATAGAGTGCATTATTTAGCAGCAATTATTTTCCTGTATTTACACAGCTTGGGTAGCACGCAATACCTGTGCCAACAGCTTCCGCTCGCTCACCTGTCCACTAGAGTTGTTTTCCATTGAAGGTAAGCAGCTTATGAGCACCCCTTTTAAGAGTAAATTTTACGCGGAAAATTGATTGGAAATCGACAAAGACTTGCCACTAAGCTCGGTCAGTGGTATTTAGCAAGACTAAATTAAAATGTAGTTTTAAGCAAACCCAAAAGCGACAAATAAACATTCGTTTTAAAAAAGGTAGGCAAATATTTTCCTGAGTGCTTTGGACTTTCGTAAAAAAATCCCTGGCTTCAGCATTTAACAGGTGCTCAGCTTCCATTGGCAGCTCTATATGGAATCAAAGTTTACAACCGAAGAACTTGGCAGCTGGCAAAGTGAAGTCCTGCAAATCAAATTCCATTGCAGTTTGCCAGTTTCTGCTCCTGGTTCTGGCTTCGCTTTCATTGTCTCTGCATTTGAATGGTGGCGGACGCTTTCAAAGTGATTCACATTTTGATTGATTGCAATTGATACGAATCGAGAGCATATGTACATATATGTGTGCATGTAGTATGTATGGGTTGATTGTGAAATGTCAGCGGGAGTGCAGGATTTGAAATTGGTATATTCCCGACTAAAATATCGATTAATTCCATACCCTCTTCTGTGCCCACTTGTTTAGATGAGACTGAAAAGGGCTGAAAGTTTGCCTTTTTGATTTACAGGAGATACTGTGGGGAGAACTATTAAGTAATAATTAGTACCAGTAACTTAAATTGAAATAATTAGTATCTTTAGAGTCTCCTTATAAATAAACATTCACGAATAGTTGGAACTTTACTTTAATTTCTGTCTATATACATAATATTTTCCCTAAATATCTACAATACACAATTGTCGGCATAAAATAAATTTATGGAAGTTATTAAGTTTAAATTCGCAGGATACAGTATTACATTTTATATAACTCAAATAAATACCAAATATAAATAAACCTCACTCCTCCACATATTCAAGTGCCTCATATATCAAATAAAATTTCAATTTGTTATTATTCTACAGATTAATAAAACGTTGAGTTGATGATTGTGTAATCTTTAGTTGTAATGGGCCAATAAGTGACACATGCATGTAATATAATACAGGTTCGCAAGAGCTTTGTTGTAAGCGGCTTAAGTGCTCTCTGTTCAGAATGCAATTTAGTGCAGAAAATGGATTCGTAGTGGCACTTGTGTTTAAGCCAGATTACAATGACAGTTGATGGCTTAAAGAGAAACTAATTTAAAGTGTAATTTGATGCCAGGAAGGGTAAGTCTCAGCAGGAGCTGGAGCTCTTAAGTTTCGAGGGAAAACTTTTGAGGTTAAGCCATAGTCGCAATTTAAATTCATTCCATTCCACATGACATCATTTAATTTAGCTTGGAATCAGTGGCAAATGGAATCGAAGTAAACACTCGTCGAGTGCCATCAGTTTGCTTAAATTTTTACGGCTTCAACACTTACCAGGTGCTCAGCTTCCCTTGGCAGTGACATAGCTGCCATCTCAACGACCAGAAGATGAAATACTTTGCAGCTGGCAAGGGAAGCCTTGCAGTGGAAACTCAAATTGCACTTGTCTGTAAATGGTCCTGCTTTCATTTTCCTTTCAGCGCACTTTCAATGCAAACGAGTATTTAAGCCCTTTTTCTCACATTTTTTTTCTTTGATTGATTGCAGTTGGTAAATAGTCTTAGTGGAGGAATTGAAATAATCGTTTGCCCATTTCGCTTGATTTCTCTCAAAAGTATAGTAATTTGTTAAATCAAGTAGGTATTTGCTGGGTTCCGCTATCGGGAGATTTTCCAATTTAAATTTTAATTGCCTTATCGATGGTGTTTAACCATGAATATAGGCCAGTGACATTGAGATACTCTAATAAAACAATACTAAAACAAAAAACTGGTTTGGCGGCAGGAAAACACCCATAAATAAGTGACGTCGTTGTGTATATATACTCATGTTGAGTTCACACCTTCTTAACAGTCTAATACTGTTCGTAAATAAAGGAAGTGATTCATTGAGAGTTTTCAATCTTTATTACCTCTATTTGCAGATAAACAGTTTGTAGATAATATCTGCTATTATATGTACATAGTTGTTTTACTCTATGGCCGAAAAATACTAAACGGAAGCTATAGTAGTTTATACAAAATTGTACACTCTATTATCTATAATAACAAATATGACAGACTTCATGGGGACACAAAAATATAACTTATCTAGCAATAAATATACATACATATGTATATATAATTTCTCCATAAAATCACAACGCACTTTCCACGAACTGCTTAGTTCCAAGAAAGGTGACACAAACAAACTTCATTTCATAAGGTGGCGAATAAGATTCTCTTATTTTATTTAACACTTTTAGGTATTTAAATAGTTTCATAAATTATAAACAGAGAGCTATACATAATGGCAAGTAATATAAATATATCAATACACTGGTGTAAGACCATTTGTTCGTTGGTAAGATGGGATTTTCCGGATCTACTGGTGCGATCTGCTCGTAAAGTTAGTGGAGGAGGTGGTCATCGACTGGAGCTCGGTGGTGCGCTTCTGTACATCCATCTTCATCCTTGTGGGACAGATTAGACCCACCCAAGCACGACGGTTAGCCGCGTCCAAGAGCACAAAGTACACGAACATCACAAATCCCTGCATGGTGGCTGTGATGCAGAACATATACGAGAAGGCCACTCCTGCCTGCATGAAGGCGAAAATGCCAAAGATCCAGGTGAGTCCCAGCAGGAAAAACAGCATGATTGAGAGCTTGATCTGTTTGACCACCATCTTTCGCTCAGATTTGTGGATGCTCTGATTCAACGAGTGCGAGATGCTGTAGAACACATACACAAAGATCACCAGATTGGCGACCGTAATGAGAGTCACGGGTAAGACTACTCCGAAGGTGAGGCCATACCCCGAGGGATAGCAGATTCCAGTGTCCGTAGACAGCTGGGCAGCGGAGGGCAGGTATGAATCCGGATCGATTAGGGCCACCAGGAGAGTGGGAATTAGGGGCAACGACCAGGCCACAATCGCTGCCTTTAGGATGTAGTGACTGGGCCTCTCGATTCCTATGACGGTCACGTAGCGCTGGAACTGCAGGAAGGCAATGATCAGCATCCAGGTGAACAGCACCAATATGGAGTACTGCAGGGCAGCGCCCAGAGCCACACAGCGCTTGGTGTCACCATTGACCACCAGCTGCTCTGATATGTCATCCGTGTTGACGAACACGAAGAGCACCATCTGCAGGCACATGGCCAGGCACAGGTGCAGCAGCACCTTCGTGGAGGCCTGACTGCGCCAGCTCTTGAAGACTGCGGCTGTGAGGAAGATGCCAAAGATTCCCAGTAGCGACATGCTGCAGCCCACAATCGAGATGATGTCAAGGACGCGCTCGTTTAGCGGCGTTATCAGGACCTCTTCTCCCAGGTCGTTTGTCCGATAGCTGCCACCCACCAGGAAGGCGAACTGTGTGAGATGCTTGGTGTTACATTCTATGATTGTATCCCTCAGCAGATTCGAGCTGCTGGCAGTGGTCACTCCATCGCTGCTCCAGGTCTCGTAGTTCCAGAAACCGCAGCCAGTGCCCAAGTGAATGGACCTCACATCCGGATCCCGAAGGTTCTCGTTACGGAGGAGAAAGGGTAAAGGCAAGGGAAGGGATTTATCTGCGAGATAGACAAGGAATTAATTATAAAATCTGTGACTATACTCGATATACTTACCCTCAAGTTCCGGTAAAGAAATGGAGATTACTTTGCTGCGAGGCTTGCGACTGCGATCTCGTGAAGTTTCGACAAAGAGTGCGTCGTGAGCATAGACCTTGAAGATTATGTAGGTAATACCCTTGGCTTTCACCACTTGCCAAAGATTTTCAGGAAGAAAAGCCGCCGTCTCCAGGTGGTTTTCTTCCTTGACCCTTTTTAAGTTTTCGGTGGAACGTAGAAAGCGATACCAGAATCCGCTAGAGGAAGACCTCCTCCCCTCGGCTTGAGCAGAGTAGATGGCTATGCCAGTAATGCCATCACAACCAGGATTGGCGAAGAATACACTAATATTTCCTGTTATCAATACTTGAACTCCAATATCAGAGAAGTTATAGGTTTCCACGCCAGTTGTGGCTGTTGTGGTGGCGTCACTGGTTGGATTGGGCACCACTTTGCCACATCTATCAGTGGGAACCATTTGTCCCGGTAGCGCATCCATGTAGCTCTCAAAGTTACTCAACAGGGAGTTGGTGGCATTCAGTTCAGCGGATAAGCGCAACACTTGACTGTCGCTGGACATGATCTCCTTGCAGACACTGACCAAGTCGACACTGACGGAGGCATCCTTCTCCTGCTGCATAAGAGTACCAAACATCTGGCCAGTTACATGGATATCGGCGGGCAGAAGAGTCCTCTCCCGCTGACGGAACATTGTTCTCATAATTCCAGTCATCTCGCGACGGCCTTGGGTGTCGTTGGTGCGTCTCCTGCCCTCCAGCACATCATCGTGCAGGCTGTTCAAGTCACCGCTGATCGTGTGCTCCCTAAACCGCCGCAGACAGACGACTGGTGGTTGCTGCTCCAAGGACTCCCATTGCGCTCGATAGTTGACCAAGAGACACTGTCTGGTGACAGGCATTCCGTTCCTCAGGAGACAGACATCGTGCAGAGTGGCACGTTCACCGATTCTGGCTCTTTTCCACTTGTTCTGATGAGGCGTTTGGTCATGGTTCCGCGTGATGTAATCGTGCTGGAACTCCTCCGGTTCGCAAAACATTGAGTCGCAATAGACCCAGTTGGCATCCGTTTTCTCACCCGGATACCTCACTTTCAGCCCGGCACAATAAGCGAAGGTGCCATTTTGATGGCACATTTGCCTCTCTGATGGGCAATGACTGAAAGGGTCTTCAGAGCTCGATTCTCTAGAGTCATGGGCCTCAGAATTCGAGGTCAGTGTCGAGGCCACCACAAAAAGCACCAAGAACCCGGTGAAATCCATGGCGTATGACGTATGACTCAGTAGCGACAGCTGTGTGCAGCTCTCCGACACTCCATAAATATTCCCGTATACGGGAAAGTACTAGCAACCGTACGTCGTCCGACTCTCTCGGAATATCGCGCCAAACTGAACAATTCGATATTCGCAGACCTCCAAAAGGTGTGTGTTATCAGTTGTTGGCACGATCGCTAATCGAAGCATTGGCGGGGAACATTATGTATTTGTTCGGATAACACAGACACAAAAAGAAAACAACTCAAGCTATGCGACGTTTGATACAATTTACAGTCTCATTAACACACACCCGGCAATTGAGGAAAAAAGAATCTAAAAGACCCCTTCCGAGGCAAACTTTAATCTTGTGACGTCGCCGTTGATATTTCTGTTGTATTTGCTCAAACCGCAATTTCACGCCTTTTTTACTCAAAATACTCATGTTGAGTCACTACGTGCTTGAGTTTTCAGATAAGAAGTTAATACCTGGAAAGCATCTATGACAAACGATGTCAGCTACTTCTAATTCCAACTTTACACGAAGTCTGTTGCACTCAGGGAAAATTGTTTATCAATGAAATGAGCTGGAACACCAGTTAAAAGCTTCAAACATAGTGAAGAAGTCATTTCGGACCCTATAAGTCATATATATTCTTGATCAGCATCAATAGGCGAATATTTCTAGGCATAAAAAAGAGAAACAAAAATTTTTTTTTCCAAAATTTTATAAGGCGCTACATTGTTAGAATTTCTAAAAATTGATACAAATTAGACTTGTTAAATTTCAAATAGAGTACGCAGAATTTTTAACGTGATAAAAGCTAACTTAGGAAAGCTTTCCGAATTGAAATTAGTGCATTTTTGTCTAAGTTATGAGATTTTAAAACTTTGGTTTTAGGAAAAAATATTGTCATATAAAACGATCGATTTTAAGAATGCAAGTATTTTAAGCTTAGTATGATTGATTTTCAATAAGATCCTGTAATTCAATTTCAAACTGCACAGGTATATAAACTTCACCTTCCTAAAGTTAGTATTCTTTATAGTTTATTATTTATTCTTCATTAAAGTAATGGCTAAAATATTTGAAACAAATTTAAATGCATCTTAATTTATCAGAACTTCTTGTTATTTTGGAAAATCTGAATTAAATCCAGTGTTTACTAATTCCAATAGTATTTAGCTTTAAACACATAAGCACACCATGTAAATATTTGTTCCTATATTCCCTGAGGGAATGTCTAGTTGTGTGACATATTAATTTAAATCACACTACCACAAGGTGACAAGATTTGGCTGCTAGTTTAATGAACTCACATATCACAATATGTTGTATAAGATAATTTGGATTTATATTAAAATTCTATAAATATTTAAATACATATATTTAAGAGTAACATTCTTATTTATGCTCTTGTTATAGGCTTTTTATCTCTTACAATATATAATTTCAAATATATTTTAACTCGCACAGCGCTTAGACCTTGTCTGCATAAGTTCCGATTATCATTGGGACAGGTTTACCGCTTTCACAGACAGACACAGCCTCCGGTGATGGGACTGACACGATGATAACTGGGTCTAATCCACCTGTGTTGCGCACACTTCATTGTGAGCCAGTTTGTGATGCCAAAATGTAATTTTTATAACCAACTTCCACAGCACGTAGTCGAAGGGCTGCGTGGGCCTGGTTTATTTCTGTGCGGAAATCGCTGGCTTGTTGACACGTTTTCAATTATCAGTCAAATGCCGTTGACGAATTCAAATGCTAAGCCCACTCGCTTTTAGCCGGACCAATTCGCTACCACCGGCAGCAGAAATTGATTGGCCTGCATGCGTTCAATCAAATGTGTCACATCTTGACGTGTTCGCTCTTCCCTTATTGCCACGAGGCTATTGGGATATGACAAACGTGCAGATGCCAAAAATGGATGAATATTGCACTTAGACAAAATGCTGACAGAAGTCTCTTTAATACTTTAAATAATAGTACAATTTTGGTAAGAAAATGGTATGAATATAAGATTTTAAATTATGTAAAACAAAAATCATAAATCAAAGATATTTGAAACTTATTTTTTGTTTTAATATTTTGTAAATTTTCTCAGTGCCGTAAAACTTTTCAAATGGAAAATAGGTTCCTACTTCAGACTCGGTACTCATAGCCACAAAAATGCTTTCAATCAAATAAGTTCTTGCAGTAGTATTTGGGTGCCAACATTTTGACTGAATTGCCTTTTTTTATGAATACTCAACAGCCCTTGATAAAATGTCCTCGAAACCCTTTTGTTCATGTCAAACCAAGAATCATTCCAATGTATTAAGTTATTTAGTTGATATAAAACTTATTTTTCCAAGTGTGCTGGTCGACCATGATATTTGGATTGTGCAATTCCTTATTTATGTCCCACCGAAAATCCAATTAGTGGCTACGCCGACAAAAGCATTACGAACTCTTCGAGCTGAAAGTCGAGAGCTTGGAACTTGGAGTCAAGCCAGTAAACTTCCTCTGGGGCAACAAGTGACTGTCTCGGTTTCGCCTTTTCGCCTTGGCCAAGTTAAGTCAAAGGGGGGAGAAACCTGCAGCCAGGAAATCATTCAACAAAACTGAGGGAGCTCTGCGGTCATATGACCGCCAACGACGGCAATAAATTTTCCAGGGCCAAGCGCACTGCATCAGTCGGTGTTGCACTTGCCAGTGAACAAGGTTACGGGTCAGAGGGCAAAATGTGATTAGGGTGGGTGTTTCAGGTTTTTCCAGGACTCAAATTGAGCCGGCAGCCAATGAGCCGTGTCGACATTAACGCACTTTTAACGACTCTCCAAAGAAGGCACGCACGCATCGTTAATATTAAGCACACATTATGTTCGTTCAATAAAAATTGGCAAGCTTGGCTTTAGCTTTTAAGTAGAAAATAAGAAGGAAGAGATGTTCCAAGAGAAATACAGAGATTCCCGTATCGTGAATGTAAGCCAAGTCGTGTCACGGTATATAAACATAAATGGTAACTAACTATAATATTATATTTTACATGAGGATGATACATATGTGCATCTTTTAACATAAGATTTGTGCGTTGAATTTGATAAGATTTTATATAATTCTGAGAACAAAATGAATAATTTTTATACACTTAAATGCATTTATTTTAAATATCTTAAATTTAATAATTGATTCATTATTAGTCATATACTATTTAGATAATTTAAGTGCACTTAGCACTCACGCTCTCACCTCTACTTTAAAGCACTTAAATGCTTCGTTGACGTCGCCACCACTCATAAAGATGCGACACGAAAAAACTGGGAAAATGGCAAAGGGAAAATCTGAAAATCAGTAGAGGAAAAAAAAAAAATGAAAATGGAAAAATGTGGGGGAAATATGCCATATGCATATGCGCTTAAAGCCGCTACAGATGGCGACCATTAAGCTCATTACGCGCTGCCATTCTTCATTCGCATCTTCGGCTAACAACTCGCTGGGAAACAAAGGCGGGGAACCACAGAAACCACATGTTAGCAGCTTCCTACCAACCACTCCTCGGGTCTCGGGGTCATGTCAATTGCAGCCAGAAGAAATTCATTTTGGGCTGCGGGCAAAGTTAAATTGAATTTTTTTCCCCAGAACTCGTTCGGTTCAGTTTCCTCTCCCTCGACTCTCGGCTCAGACAACAGGTTGCGAGGATTTAATGAAATTAGGCACTGGCGGGAGCAGTGTCTAAATAAATACTCATTGGTAAACAGGGTGTTGATAGGAAAAAATTAAAAATTATATTAATAAAAGATGTTAGACATCACGGAAGAAATGCTAAAGGCAAATCATTTGTTAAAGGCTAGGTTAGTAAAACATAAAAATTGATTAAAAACTGCAGTGTATGTTTTGAAATCGTTTATGAAATATATGTGTCTTATATACCATAGAGCTTAGGTATAAAATATAGGATTATATAGTACTAATCAAACGTCAAGGAAAAGATATTTATATATTGTAAGTCACCCTGTTTTTTTGTTAGTCGGATTATGTACACATTTTTTAGCTGCCTTAATTTTCAACAATTGCCAAGGCAACACAGATATATATACATACATATGCGCGTGCATACAGATTCAGCGCGAACTTTGACACGGCACATGTGGCCGAGGATGTCGTCTACAGTTTCCATCCAGTTGGTCCTGCCCAGCAGCTTCGGTTTGCGTGTGTGTTTTATGGCAACAACTTGGAGTAATTTAATTTAATTACCACGTCTGTTTTGCCGCTCCGGCATCATCTAATTTCATTTTGGAGCAAGAGGCCGAGCACCAGTGGCCCAGAACACTGACACACGATGCCCTGTTTGCTCAGAGTTCTAACTGGATTAACCCAGTGCCAACTTTCCGGTTGCAATCCCTGCAGGCTGTCGAACATTTGCATAAGCTTCGATTAAATTGGAGTCTGTCATGTACGACTGAAATGTGGAACATGGATATTTTCATGAAATTGTTGAACAAGGAAAATAAAGTCAAATCGAACGACAATGAAATTATATTTCTGAAGGATTTTCTACAGATATCTGTATACATATTTGTCTCTTTTTGCCAAAGAATTATTTGTATATCTATTGATTGGATTTATTTCTTGATTATCTTTGTTGCCGGATATAGGAACACCATGCCATATAAGTTTAAAAATATTTTTGCAGAAGGCTTAGACCCACACAACAAATTGTATCTCCTCTGTAAAATATAATGCTAATCCCTAGATATTTGCCCACTTTTTGTCCTATTCAAAGTACTATATACTTCGATCTATTGGAAATCCGGAGACCGGAAACTGGCACGGAAATGAAACGGGTTGAATGCCTGGCTGAGCCTTTTTTAACATGTCCACATTTAATTAAATAACAACAGTCCTAGTTTCTGTTCTTGACTTCGTTTCGCTCACATATCTAGCGCGGCAGAAAGTTTCCAATTACGATTTTCGTTTTCCGCATTGAGTGAAAACTTTCGCCGAGGGAAAACTTTGAAAAGTCGCCGGCCAGAGCGAGTGCTTCTAATGAAAAACCACTTAGGCGGAGACAAAGAAGTCCACTTAGGACGTCCCTGCAGTCGGTAGCAGGACATG